TTGAAAAGGCTGTATAGGTGTTAGCAAACATAATCACTCACTTATTAAACATTATTACTCACAAACATTTGTAAGTTTTGCCTTTACTCTAGTAAAACACCACTCTGATTACTTACACACTGATTGTTGGGAATGTTCGATGCTTTTCACATCATACTTTGATCTCCAACACACATACACATTATAAACATGAAAGCAAAACAGCAATGTGTAATGTTTTCCATTTGGTCTTCACTAATATATACTGTACATTGGTCATAATACTGAAGATACAATTATTTCAGATTATGGTAGATGCAACAATTACTAGCAGTTAAGACGAATGGGATGAGACACAATTCATCTGACAATTAACCAGCCACTGAAAAGCCAACAGCATGTTTTAAATCAGCAGCACTCAACGCAGCCTATGTGCATAATAATGTCAGTACGTTCAATAGAAAAGTGTTGGTTCAGAGAAGGTCTGAATGGAAAATTACTTGGAACAGCAAGATACCCCCTATTATTAAGTTAAAACGCACCATAACATCAGCTGAAAATCTGTGGTTCTTTCCCACAGCTGAGGTAACCTGCAGTTCCAGGTGGGGACTCCACAATTTCTAGAATTCATCAAGCAAAGACTGTTACAGTCTTAGTATACTGAGCAGATGAACATATCTCCTCCCCTTGTTCTTACCATAGGGTTTCACCATTGCTAAAGCAACTGATGTGCAAAAATACTGTAAAGGCAATACATTGTCTTGTTTGTTTAAGTCTGCCCAGTTCCCAAATCCTGCTGGGAAGCACCAAAACAAAATAAATCTCCAATGAAAAATTGGTTCATCCAATTCATTTAGAATTATGGCTTAAAAGACTTATTGAGAATGCACAGCATCTTTCCAAAAGATACTGTACCCATCGGCAGACAACAGCCTTATTAAATTACAACAAAAAACAAATCCAGTAAAATTTCCACAATGTTTATAACTTTACAATTACACTTCAGTATAATATTTAACGATCTCAGTATAATATTTATTTAACAATATTTAACAATATGTATAAAAGGTCTCTTGAATTTCTTCAATACAATACAAGCATGTGTGATTTCTTCTTACTTAGGATATAACTATAAAAACGGATGCCTAATGTTTAAAACATCTTTTTTGCATACACAAAAATAAATACAGTATAAGTTGTTGTTTTTTAAAAACAATATACAATATTCTTATACAAATTAAAGAAAACTTGCTCAAAATGTTAGTTGTGAAACAGACTCAAAGAAAATAATTATACAATTATACATGCATACTGCATTAAGTAATCAGTCAAAATGAGTCAGTCCAAGAGCTACAGTACATGTTCTAAACACTCATAAAATCTGCTCTCTAGTGAAAATAACAGCAATGTTTCAAAACTGATTGCTGTCTCTTTTTAGTATAGTTCTGAGCATGGCGAGATCTTCTCATGTTATCTTTAAGTCATTTGCCTGCTTCACACTGCGATTACTAATCATTGTAATAACTCCCTCGGCTCTTCAAAACAAAAGAAGAAAAACAATGAAAATCATTTTGCAAACTAAATTTTTGAATTTCAGTACAGAGGCAGTCAGCTAAGAGGTTTTATTATTCCTCACAATGGAAGTGTCATACAACCTGAAGTAACTTCTTCTTCAACCATAAATCCATCCCTTATCCATGACAACTTGATCCTGAAGAGGATCAGAGTGATCTGGAGTCTAATCCAGCAGGCATGGGCACAAGCTGGGACAACTATGCAAAATACTAATTAGCTTAGCTGGCGTGTTTTTGAGAGGTCTCCTCCCATAGTCCAAAGATATACCATCCAGAGTGTCCCTTGTCCTGCTCCCCTGTGATCCTGAATTGCAAGAACCAGTTCTTGGCTCCCGGGAAAACTTGCACTGGTGTCTGAGTTTGCCCTGTGACAGACTGGCATCCCAATGAATGAATGGATGGATATCATACTGTACTTTTAACACTTAATTACAACCAACATGGTATTAGCTCATGAACAGAGAAAACTACGAGGGGACCTGATGTGTGTTTCTAAAATCCTCAAAGGCATTAACAACACAAGACACTTCTTTACCCAAAGTGTTGTAGGAGTGCAGAACAAGCATATCAACTTAATAATAATGAGTCCGCAAGTCAGCATAGTGATTTTTTTTTTCAGAATGAACAGCACAACATGAATCAGAGGGCACAAATGTATTCTATGGGGAAGTGGTTTTAAAGCTGAGCTCTTCTTTTCTGAAAATGTTTCTGAGAACAATAAAACATTTTTCTCCACAAAGCATTGTGGGTGTCTGGAACAAGCTACTCAGCAATGTTGTTGAAGCCAGTTTCCTGGATTTTCTTTCTAATTGGATCAATTAGCTACTACCAACAAAACCAGCTAAATGGACCTAATGGCCTCTTATTGTTTGTAATATTTGTTGGGCCCAAGGCTTCAACACTGTGAGGCGGTAATGCTAATCTCTGCACCACCATACTACCCTTGCACTTCATTATTGAGAACCTGAATTCTTACTGTCAAAACAAATAATCTTTCATTTTTTTGTTAAAGATTTTTTGTAAATTTGTAACTATTTTATCTTACAGATATTCGCCACTATGCATCTCTGAGAAAAATGCAACATTAATGGTTCATTCACCATCAACCGACACCATACAGTAGGACAGGGTTGTCCAGACCTGATTTTGGGGGACGATTTGTCTGTAAGCTGTCTACTGTACAGTAGATCTCTTTCAAATCTCTTTCAAAAGCTGCACCTGAAAAGCTGAGAGATGAGGTGAAATTGTTCCAGTTAAGTAAAAATCACACTGGTTGAGGTTGTTGAGGGCTGAATTGGGAAAGATACCTTGAGACACACCCATCCCCTGTACAGGATTGGCAACCTTGGTGTAGTCCCTAATGCAACCCAATATTAAAGCATATAAATCATTCTTATTTTTCACTTGCTTACTTAGCATTTCGCAGAGCTGAGTATTAGCTGAGTCTTCTAGAAGAATAAAATCTCAAAACCCCTATAATGAAGATCATAAACGGTCAGTTGCATGGTACCAGTTTCACCACTGAACCTAATCTGTTCTGAGCACTCTTGCTTCTCCCTGAAGTTCAGCCTTGCTCTTTCAGCAAGAGACCTGATGTGACTGGCAGTGAATTACAGTATAGAAAGGCAATGTAAAAACATTTTTTATTCCAATGGAAAGTTTAGAAAAAAAAACTGGTATTATTATTATTCTCCCAGATTTGAAACAGAATTCCCCACAATATTGGTGCCTAAAAATAGACATTATGCATTGCAAGGAATTAAAGAAGCTTCAGAGACTAACCCCCTGCAGCAAAATACATGTACACAGGCAATGCTGGTGGGAACGATGCTGATAGTTCTCTGCTTACTGTATGAATAAACTACTGCAAAGAACCTTTTTTCTTTTTCGGAACTCAGCATGAAACTGCATGATGCCTTTGGTTTGATTCAGGTAATTTTATCGTGTTCAAAACTGCAGCTCACTGATATAAATACCAGATGTTCAGCAAATTGTAAGTCATCGTGTAAGGACAATGAAAAGATTTTGAAAATAATTTTTATGTTCGTTTAAAAAAGACTGAATCGCAGAAAATGTGAAGGAATGGTTCTGAGGTTGTATCCAGAAACAATGCAATATATTTTCCATGTTTATTTTTACATAACCAGCAGCAGACGTCTGTTTTGCGACCTTGTAAAGTGCTTGCAAATTGTGGGATGCCAACAACTGAAATTTTATAGTCAATGCTGAACAAACGTCCATCAGTTTCTAATTTTGATTTCAAAACCCAATCAAATATGATGGTGAAAATACCAACATACCACCACTGAATTACAAACAATAGAACTAGATCCCAACAATTTAAAACTCCACAGTTGTAACGAAAGCGTTCTTTCAGGACCCTATGCAGACGACACGATCCGGGGTAGAGTGAGGAAAACACGGGGAAAAAGCGTGCGGGAGTCGGGAATGAAAACAGGGGGCGTGTCCATGGTGCGCTGGTGTTCGGGGGAGGTGTGGCTGAGGCCAACAATCCAGGAATAAGTTCAAGGGAGAATCCAAAAGGAGGCAAAAGTCCAAAGCCGGGCGGTCCATCCAAGACAAACGGGGTTAAAAACAGGAACCGGGTCGGGACCGGCACGGGAACGGGAACTAAAACCTTAACGGGACCAGGTGCTTCCAAGTCCCGGACTCGCCTGGTACAGAAACCAGAGCAGAGCCCGGGAATAGAGTGAGCGCCTGGCTTTTAAGGAGGACTGAAAAGGGGGCTGGAACAGGGAGTGGGTGCGGTGGATGAGTAGAAAACAAGGAAGGGCTGGAGCGTCCTTAAGAGGAGGGGTTTCCGAACGTGACAATAGTACTTTGTGGACATTCTGTGTGGTAAGTTTTGATTCAAATCAAATAATATAACACATGTACTGTATGTGTATTTGGATGTGTAAAGTTAAAAACACACCGTGTTTCTTAGAGGAGCATTTCTGAAGTAAACACAGACATTTCTCCAGGTTTTACTAATCTATAATGTATTTTCCAAACAGCCGAAAATATCAGAGCTGTGCACAATATCTACCCCAGAAGGAGTTTTTCTTGTTTTTCTGTGTCTTGAAACTATGTTGTTCTGTCAAGTGCTACACAAGATCTGATGACAAACCTGCCATGTGACAAACCTTTGATCATATCACTTCGTCTAGCTTTATTTTTGTCACCTTTTTAGATTTGATTTACTTATCTTATGATTTATTTGTTATCATTATCTGAACATACAAGCCACAGTACTAGATCTCCACAGCAAGCTTAAGTAAATTAAAAAATTTTAAATAACTCCATTTAACTAATTTTAAAGCAAACACATGTGTGACTGAATGTGTGAAATGAATGTTTACAACTTTAGATGGCTTTAAAGAAGCAATGCACTACAACTTTTTAAATTTTTAAAATGTAGTACAATAAAGGCATTGGTAATCTTACTTTTTTGGTTTTATCCATTGCTTTGAGAATCGAGATGTTCAAATCTTCAAGAGCCCCAAGCACATTTTCATACTCTCCAAGGTGCTGAGAGAAATATTCTGAAAAAGGATGTAAAAATCTCAATACAACATTTCTTTGGTGGATTTTATTTCAAAGTTATATAATTAGTAATAATGGTTTATTAGGACTCCAAATATGCTGCTATTAGTATTAATGATCATATTATTTTAGTTGTAGCTTAATTTTATAAATAACAAATATTACTGAAACATTTATCACCTAAGAAATTCTTAGTAAACAAAAACTAAACTAAAAAGCAGGTATTAATAAGCTGTTTTCAGGTTAAACAGGGTAAGAAACGTTCTACTGTATATTTGTGTAAAGACACAGACCTGCAGCATGATAAAAATAAATAATATGTGGTCCTTTATGTGGGACTGAAATGTTCATAATTATATTAGATGTGTGGCCAAATGTGTCCAAATTATAGTAATATATAATGTATAATATCATGATATATAATATCACTGACATGCTCTGCCAATGTTATTTTGCCTGAAAAAGAACAGCAGCAGCTTCTTTCCTTTACTGCAAAGAAGAAGAAAATCTGAACTTACCACAAAGTTCGTCTGTGTCCAGGTTGCTAAAAAAATAAACAGACATGTTAAGCACAAATAATACAATTAAAAATGTGACTGTGTTTCTTAGAAAGGCTTTAAAGGCATTTCTGAAGGAAATCAGATTCTATAATAGTGGTTTGGTAAACAAATCATGAACTATTACACATTTACAAACCATATCCAAAACAGATTCCTACACCCTTTGTATTTAATGTCTGGGCGTCCCGTTACAAACAAGTAGTTCGCTATGGGATTGGATGGAGAATTGTTGAGAAATGCTTTTAATTTTTAGGTTTTGTATATTTCAATGGCTACGCTTAGGATCGGTGGTGATAAAAAAACGACTAATCTCCGAAATGTCAGAGAACTCCACACTGGCCTTTAATCTCATCTCTGACAGTGTGATTTATGGTTCACACTCTTTCAAAGCCAGAATGCTGCCGTATTCCTCCAGGCTGTGATTTTAGCTCAGCTCAGACCTGTTGTTTATGTCTAAGACACAGAGATGCAGGAAGCTTGGGGGGATTTGCTCAGAATCAATATTCTCCTTCCCTTACATTTCTGTGCCCAGAAGAAGAGACCAATGTTAACAGTTTGCCTTAGTCTTTGTGAAAAAGGGACAGCAATGTGCATAACTCCAAGGCATGTGTAACCACAGCCACTTTTCATTTAACAAACCTCACTGACCTGTCTGCTTGGATTTGACCAGAGAGAATTTTAAAAAGAATCCTGTGAATATTGCCGTTTAGCTTCAACATAAATCAATTCTGTGATGTCATTTCAGATATGTGCCCGACCAGTAAATTTTATATTTTATATACCTTTATATACCTTTTAGTAAATATTATATGGCTGTTACAATCCTCCTTTAATAACACAAGATTGGGCTATTTGCATGATAAAAGAATAACATCAACAACATACAGTAATAAGCTCCTCACTTGCTGTGTGTAATCCATGTGCAAATTTTTTACACTGCTACAACAATAAAATTAACAACAACTACAACAACAATAATAATAATCAATTTTATATACCACCTTTAAAAGTAACTTTTCAAAGCATTTTACAGTATAAAAAAAAACAACGATAGGAAACAAAAGAGTTAGTACAATAAAAACAAGGGTTTTGAGTGCAGTGGAAGATCCAGAGGTACAGATACTGGCATCAATCCTTTCTGAAGACATAGGATTTGAGTCTGGATTTGAAAGCTCTCAGAGAAGGTGACTCTCTGATATCCTTGGGGACAGAATTCCAGAGCTTTGAGGCAGAGCAAGAGAAGGCCCTGTCACCCCTAGCATGTAAATGAGCTTGGGGGACAAACAGGAGACCAGAGTCAGACAAATGAAGGTTGCGAGATGGCAGTAGAAAGATAATAAATCAGACAGGTAGTGAGGTGCCAGGCCATGCAGAGCCTTATACTTGTGGATGAGGATTTTGAAGTCGTCACGGAGCCAGGGCAAGGACTCCAGGTCAGGAGTAATGTGATCACAGGCAAGTGACCTGCTCAGGATTCTGGCTGCCGAATTCAGGAAATACTGAAGTTACTGAGGTTAACTCTTCTTGCATTTGTGGCCCAAATAGCAATGCTTTTCCCAATGTGTTATCACAGTGTGAAAAACACAATGTACTTCTCTGGGTTAGTGTGACTGGAAGGACCTGTGCAGGTAATCGCATATCCAAGTTGTTGTTGTCGTACTCTCCCCTTTGATCCTAACCCTCACTTAGTTATCTCTCAAGTCCGTATACTTTTTCTAGCCCTGTGTATGGTTGCAGGATTGTGTTCTCCAACAATCTGAGATGACATAACCATCAACTCCAGTTCCCTATTATAAACTACAATTCTTCTCTACTCCTTTTTATAGAATGTCTACTTTTGTCACACCAGTTATATTAACGGTCTACAACTGGTCTGTGCTGCAGACAGTCTCTGTCTGGTCTCTCTCAGTTCTATAGTAAGAGAAGTTATCTCTCTGCAGGTGTCACTGATTTCTCTGTCCTCCCTGTGTGGAATACTCCGGTTCACACAGCCATTTGCTGCAGTGATGATGTGCCGTTTGCACTGTGCTCTAATTTCTTCACTCCAGCCTCTTTTGCTTCATCACAAATGTGAAGCAGCAATAAAGGCCTTGAAGGTATTCCTAAGCCGTTCAAAAAAGTCTTACGATCCTTTATTAAGCACAAACATCACTAAGACAGACTCGAGCTCTTGTGGCAAGTGAACAGAAACAACCCCATCAGGAGGGGTTTTACAGTTCATTTTGCACGATACATCTGTCAGTCATTACCACCTGACACATCATCTTCTTTCCCGCCCTGCCGACTGTGACAGGGAGCCAACATCTTTATTTTGAAGCGTGCAAACAAATTTCCAATTCTGCTTTTAAAATATTGGCACACCAGGCAAACAGGAGTGGAGAGAGATGCATGAACAACAGTAACACAGTTTTCTTTGGAGAGCTCATTTTTTTAAATTCTGTTTCATGCAATGTACGTCATGTAATAAAATAATTTCATAATTTCTATAATAGAAAATGCAAGGAAAAAACAAGTTAATGGACTAATTGGGTATTTATGGTGTGATGCCAGGATAGGTACAGTGCAAAATAATATCATTGAAAAATCCAGATTTTGCAAAACACTCCTAAGTTAGCTTAATTTAAAAAAAAGCTTTTTCGACACACACACAACCACAGATATGATATTAAGGAACACCATGAACATGGGATCTTTAAGTAGCTACATTCCTAAGGTGACATTGTAGATCTTACCAGTAGAACAGCATGGAGATCCTTACAAACCCATTTAAAATCAAGCTATAAAGTGAGGACGTTTAATTACTCTGTCCTGCAAAAGATTACACTTTTGAAACAAAGGTGTAAATGTTCTGGACCTGTCCAAGCACAAGGCAAAATTGAAACAAAATTGAATCATATTCATCTGTTTTTCTTATTCTTCCAGACCTCTGTCTTCTGGGCATCCTTCTGCCACTAGGGTTATCAGCGAATGAACAATACAGGTTCCATCCTGAATTCTTCCTTTTCACACTTTTCAAAGTAATGTACATAGTTCAATGATGACAGAGTGCCAGTGTGATGGTGAGACGGGAAGCCAGGTTAGCACCTTTCTTGACAACTGCCACAATTTTTCAGCACAAAAGGTTGCCTTTATTGCAAATTTTATGACAATTTTACTTGCAATATGGCAGCATCGCAGCTCTAATTCATTTCACATTGACCCTGCCAAATGATGAACAAATAATACAAATAATACATGCAAAAAAAACAGAAAAATATACCATTCTCTCAACAATGGGTAAAACATTTTCTTACTACCTCATCTCTCTTTATCCATGCTACCACAACTGGTTGGCACCTTTATGTGCTGCAAATCAATATCAGCCCTCTTACCCGGAATGATCTGAATACTATTTCTAATTTTTACACATGATGCTTTTGCACCTAATTAGTTTTGTAAATAGGGCATTAAGAAACAGGTCATAATGGAGTGATCTCTGTTTATTGTAGGCTATTACATCCAGAATAATGTCAGTTAGTAGAAGAAATCCTTGAAGGTTTGCTATACACTTATTAATATCATATATATTATTTAAGATGTGTTGTATAATTTAACATGATTCAGTTCATTTTCCAGAAAAACACACACTGTGTAGGGGAAATTACCTAAACATACTGGCCAAATATAAAGTACATGCAACTTCTTTTTACTATTTTAGAGAAAAAAGATTCCAGTATGACCTACATGACTGTATTGTTTTTCACAAGTCAAGATTCCAGTCTACAATCTGAATCCTGCCTCATGTTTTCAGAGCATGACATTTTTATGTCACATATCAAAACTCTTTGAAGAACTCAAACTAAAAAACAGCCTGATCCATTACTCAACTTGATCTATTACTTTGATCAGGCACTGCAGTATTAATACATATACAATTTCCAGTACTCATTTTAACTTGTTTATTTCATTCTTTTTTATTTATACACGCACCATCTAAATATTTAAACACTGGATAAATCAGAAGACTGTTTTGTTAAGGAACACTGATTCTGTTGAGTTCTGTAGTTCCTAGACAGGCTCAAGGACATGTTTTGACATTTGCTTTGAAGTGCCATAAGCAAATCTCAGTTTATTTGTCAGTGTCACTTAACAATGAGTATGTTTTACACACAACATCAAAATGTAAATTTTGAGAACTCTAAGACTGGTTTGAAATTTCATATTCATAAATTATTTCTTGATTCTTCTGCTCACATATGCCCCTTATATTATTAATAGATTTTTTTTGTACCGAATGTTGTTTGAAAATAATACTGGAAATGAGAAGTGTATCGCCAATGTTCAGATTAGAAATCATGAAACATACACTCTGAACATTAAAAATGCAACAGATAAGTAATGGATCCAATAGCATTTGTTGCCTTCCTGATGATTTCTTAGAATATATCAACTGTAAGAATTATTGGAAAACCTAACAATTTCATGAAAAGAGGACTGAGGAGCAATAAATAGCACTTAGAAAGTATAAAACTTTAATAGATACAGACTTATTCTCCTCGCAGGTTACTGCAAAGATTTCTAATGAAAATACCTGCAACAACAGGTTTACATACTATGTTGTGACATCAGCATCACGTTCCCATTTATTGATCATCTACCAGAACAAACTTAATCTTCTTGCACTCTTCTTTTTCATGCTCCTGTGAGATGCCTTCTAACAAACTCAAGACATTGATTTCAGTGTCTATCCTTGTTTTTGACAAGCAATTTTGCTGTGTGTTTTCCCTATCTGTGTGCACAGAGCCAAGACTGTACTAAAAAACAGACACCATAGAGGATACTGCATGCTGTTGAGCAATGGCATTCTGTCGTGTGGGGCAGGTCTACAGTTTTACTGAAGAGCTTGTTACTGAAAGTGCCTTTAAATTTTACCCCATGCTAGGCACACAGCTACTGATGAACAAAATGCATCTCAGAAGTAAATTGCTCAAATGAACATGGAGCA